GCTGTGTTCAAATAGATTATAATAGTGAAAACAGAAAGACCAGTTAGGAGGTTATAGTATACTATACTATACTTCAGGCAGGAGATGGCGATGGCTTGGAAAGTGGTGGAGAGTGAAAAGGGATCTGAATCTGAATGTAATTTGAAGGTAGAGCAAACAAGATACGTTGACAGATTAGATTTGGTATTTGACACTAAGAATAACTACAAAGTTTTTGGCCTGAGCCCCTGAAGAGATAGATTTGTTACAGATTTGTTAGGATGGGGAAGGCTGTGGGTGCAGTAGGTTTTTGGAAGACCAAGAGTTTAGTTGGGGTCATGTTAAGTTTGAGATGGTTAGTAGACACCCCATTGAGACTACTCTGGGTTTACTTAACTGTGCCGAAGTACATAGTTTAGAATTTCTTTTAGTGAGAGTCTTTGGGAGGAAGTTTTACTCTTCGTATATTTCAAATTGTCTTTCTCTTACCTCCAGTTTTGAATGTAGTCTAACAGGGTATAGGATTCTGGTTGACAGTTATTTTCCTTCAATGCTTTTATTATTGCCAGTGGGAAACTTGCCTTTGGTATAATTGATATTCCTTTGTAGATAACCTATTTTTTCCTTAAATCTCTTGTGGTTTTCAGGGGTTTTTTTTGTTTTGTTTTTTGATGACAGTTTCACTATGTTATGTCTAGGTATGGATTTGTTTACTTGGAATAGGTACTTGGAATATATGTTGAATCTGAGGCCTTTGATTTTCTTCAATAGTGCAAAATTTATAAATACCATTTCTTTGAGCATTTTTTTCTAATAGTTTCTATTCCTGTTTTCTGTAACTCCTGTTAGGTTTATGTTTGAGTCTTTCAAACTATCCCATGTATACACACATATACACACATGGTATATATTTTATATTTTTGTCATTCTGTATATTATTTTGGGTAAATTTCCCAGAAAACTGTCTTGTAAGTTCCTAATTCCCTAGAATTCATCTTATCTGTTGTTTTTTTAAATTTTGAAAGTATATTTTTATTTCTAATATCTTTATTAGATGTTCTTATTTCAGTAGGCCTATTTTTTATAATTTCTTGCTTTTCTTAAATAGAAATTATTCCTTCATTTATCTCTTGAGTATACTAAACATAGTTATTTTAAGGTCTTTGTCAGACTGCTCCATAAAATTAGTGTCATATGGAGTGAATTTATGTTCTGGTACTGATTTTTTTTAGGTTGTCTTTCTTAATATAAAATTTATATCTGTATCTTGAATTTTGGATTGCTGGCTATGATTGGAAGCCTTTTTATCTTCCTTCCTTCTTTCCCTCCCTCCCTTCCTTTTTGGGTTTGCCACTCCACAGTGACACACGGGATATCACACACAGATGTAGTCACAGACTTAGCAGTCAGCCTGGTTCAGAGGCTCTCTATGCGTCTGGCTTTTCCCACTAGTGCAGCTCTTGGCAATAGCCCTTTTTCAGTCTCTTTCCATGAGGGAGGTGGTCAGTGAAATTCCCTGTTTTACCCCATAGGAACGCACTTCTCGGCCACCACTGCTGCTTCTAAATCTGCAACCCAGCGGGTCTCTGGTATCAGCACACTCACTGCTTTGCATTTCTATTCGGTTTTACCCAGATGATTATTTTATTTTTGAACTCAAATGGTGTTGGGGTTTCTATTTGTATATTTTGGGTATTATGAATATGTGTTACGTGTGTGGGGGGGATGTCTTGTCAAAATGGAAACCCAGCTGTTTTATCTCTATTAGAAATTCAATTGAAACTCTATAAAACTTGCTTTTCTCATAATAATAGATAAGTATTATCTATTAGTCTATTATTATTAACTATCAAGAACTTATTAACCACATTACAAGAATTAACTAATTTAATCTTCCCAACAACCTTCATTTTATAGTAGAGAAAAGTGAAAAATGGAGTTTAGTAATTTGCCTTGAATCATACAGCTATTAGGTGGCAGAGAAAGGATTCTAAAGCAGATAACTTGACTCCATAGTCTATGTTCCTAACCACTGTGATATACTCTCTCTTATCTATCAGTTGGGAAAAATAGTACTTTCTCACAGTTTGTTGTAAGAATGAAGTAAGATGTGAAAAGCCTGATGCCAAGCCTGATGTCATACCTGACACATAATAGGCATTAGTAAATATTTGTTTTTCTTTCTTTTGTGGCAGGCAAATATATTTCCAGGATGATGATTTAAATGTGTAAACTAGGTTTTGTTGAAGATATACTATGTTTCATTTTAGTAAAATGGGTGGGAGTTCTATTATTGGACTAAATTCTTCTATATGGCTCTGGGGGCAGGACTGGTCTGGGAGAGGTACAGAGCTAAGAAGCAAGGGAATCAGAGGAATAGGATCCAATGGCAACATCCAAATTGGAAACCGGACAGTTAAAGGATTCTGAAAAAAAGCTGGTTTGATCCTGGGGACGTCCAGAGCAGAACAAGAGGGTTTGGACTAAGTGGAAGGAGCTGGTGCCTAGAGCATTTCCCAGAGCTCCTAGAGCTCCTGGATCTTTGATAATGGGCAGAGAGGGCTCTGTTGAGGGCACTTGGCAAGGCTTGACCTTGTAGAACATTCTTCTGGCCTTTGTTTTCAAATTCCCCAAGCTGACAAGAAGCATTTGGTCTTTAGTATGCAATATTCAAGGGAATAAATAGGCCTGGTTAACTGTTTACAGTTATACTAGCCAAGAATCTAAATCAGAGAATTGCCTCTGGGGCCTTGACTTAGCTCTTTCTCCAGTCATCTCATCTCCTACTTCCTCAACCCCACATATATGATCCTTCCACCATTCTGCCTTCAAAGTCCAGCTCAAATTCCACTCTTTCTGTGACACAGAACTGATCCCCTGTACACCTTATACTAGTAGTTGCTTCTAATAAATTAGAAGCTTAGAAAAAGGAAAGGTCCTTGTGAGATGCAGTATGTGGAGGAAGTTTCATCAATTTGGATCAATAAGATTATATGTGGAGAACCATGAACAAATGCTTAGTTGGGAATATGGGGTGTTTGGGGAGGTGTGTTTTTGTGTGTGTGTGTGTTTTGCATGTTAATATGGGAACCAGCAAAGAGAACGGCCTTATTAGAACAGAAGGTTTGGGTAGGAATTTGGAAAAGTTAAGCTTAAATTTAATTAGGAGGGTAGGGTTCAGGTTATAGGCAACCTTTCAAGCTAGAAGAGTTTGATCAAGATAGAAGAGGGGTTAGATAGATCAAGATTTTGTTAATAATCAAGAGCCATTGTAAGTTCATGCATGGTGAGATAGTTTACTCCGATCCCAGATATCTGACTTCTTGGATTGGTTGGTTTTGCTAGAACCGTGTCTGCTCAGGGAGGCCCAGGAGAAAGTCTCGCTGACAGTGTTGTGGAGCATCACTGAACTGATATTTAGTGTCCGTGTATTTCAGTGCACTTAATAGGAAATTAAGGAAATAGTAAAGTGCTGTTCATCTCCTGCAATTCTCTTTTCCCCTTAGTTTTTCCTGCGTGGTGAATCCCTACAGGAGGCTTGACCCTAGACTGCAGCATTATCTATAAGCCAGTTCTAAATTACCTGTGGTTCTGTGGTAGAGAAGAAAATACAAGTATAAATGAAATCCACAGATGATATTAGATCAAGTAATTTTTACTTTCTTCACCTCTATAATTCCAGCTTTTTCTTGGGTAGTTAGAGCACAAAAAATTTACTTTTGCTTTAATTCTTTTTTTTCCCTGCTCACCCATCGTGCACTAAATTAACCCAAATAGACTTTTTTTTTTTGACAGTGAAGAAGGAACAAAAGAAGGTGGTAATCTGTAACTGTATCATTAACACTTTAGTAATTCCTCTGAGGAATTTGTATTTCAGTTTTTGATTAGGCAACTGTGTGAGAATTATTCTAAGCTGGCAATGTTAGTAATAAACTAGAGAAACTATTTCATGAAACACAAAACATTTATCTTAATTTTAAAAAGATACAAAATCTCCAATGATTGGAAAGTAACTGTAATCCTTAAAAATATAAAAGTATGGGAAATTTTGAGAGAGATGAAAATTATTTCTAAAATGTGGTTTAAAATGTGTCCTCTTTGAGTATGTATGATCCCTAGAAATATAGAACATAAATTATAGTAAACTACAAAGTTATATTCTCTTTGTTAGTAATCTTGAGTTACAGTTTAATCTGTGAGAGCTGGATCATCCTTCTTCGGAACTTTTTTTTTTTGAGTCAAGGCCTTGCTTTATTGCCTGGGCTAGAGTGCAGTGATATCATCATAGCTCATTTCAGCCTCAAACTCCTGGGCTCAAGTTATCGTCCTGCCTCAGCCTCCTCTGTAACTGGTACTATAGGCACATGCCTCCATGCTTGGCTAATTTTTCTGGTTTTTGGAGAGACAGGAGTCTTTCTATGTTTCTCGGGCTGGTCTCTAACTCCTGGCCTCAAGGGATACTTACCTTGGCCTCCCAAAGTGCTGGGATTATAGGCATGAGCCACAATGCTCAGCCCTTCAGAACATTGAGTGTGGTTGCAAGCCTGCATATTAAAACATATTAATATTTTGCAGATAAGACACATACTTTACACAAAGAAATGGAATCTGTTGTAAGAAATGGAATGTTTAATAGCTTCAGATCCTAAGACCCATAATAAAGAAGAAAGTAGGTGAAAAGTATAAATGAAACATTTTCTAGTTCCACCCCATTCCCAATGTAATGATATTTATTATTTTCCAACAGTGTTAATGTACATCAATAGTTTATACTTTTACCTTTTTAAAAATTTTATTGTATATGTATATATATTTTTATTTCAAAATATTAAGGGTGTACAAATGTTTTTGTTACGTGGATACATTGTATAATGCTTAAGTTAGGGCTTTTAGTATGCCTATCACCAGAATAGTGTTCACTGTACCCAATAGATAAGTTATTACCCCTCACCTTCTCCCACCTGTATTTTTACCTGTTGATACCTGATAATTCCAAGTGTTTGCTTATATATGCCTTTTAGGTGCCCCAATGTGAGTCTGCAAAAACTGCCAGAACAGTGGTTATGGAATGTTTTAGAGGAAATTAAATGCAGTGATCCTTCATCTAAACTCTGTGCTACAAGGCGCAGTGCTGGAATTCCTTTCTACATACAGGTACTTACCTATAGGACCATAGTTGTTTGTTTATTTGTCTTTTGATAATAGTATATTCTAACCCTTGTGACATGTGAGTGAGCATATAGCATAAGGGACATGTCTGTGTTTTCAGTACCATAGCATTTGTGGCTTTGTTTTGATGTGGGGACAGTGTGTACCTGTGACAGATTTGTTCTTGGAACAAACCCTCTAAGAGGCCAATCTTGTAATAAACAGAGGTTGGTATAGATTTCCGCTTGTGTATTAACTAGGCAGGCATCACTTTGGCACGTTCATTGCTCACTTCCAGGAAGTGCATATGTTGCCCTTTTTTTTTTTTTAATTACAAAAAAATAGTCTTCCTTTCCTTTCAAGACTCCAAATACTCTCTGTAGGCAACCAGTGTTAATAGTTTCTTTTAAATCTTTTCATAAAATGTCCATCCATAAAATAATCATAATTGTAATAGCTAACATTTATTAGTGATTATTTCATATATATTACCTCATTAAATCCTTCCCCAAGCCCTATAAAATAGGCACTATTATCATCGATATATTCTAGGTGTGAAACTGGGGTTTAGAAAAGTTAAGTGACTTGCCAAAGGCCACAGAGATACAATAGTAAGAGCCAAGCTAAGACTTAAGCCCAGGCCAGCTGACTCCTCAACCTCTCTGCATAAGAGAATGTGAGTGTATGAGTATGTTTTCCTTTTGAACACAGATGAACATATGCTATATACACTGTTTGCCCCTTGATTTCACTTAACATTATACCTTAAAGATTGGTCCATATCAGCACACCTAGATATTGCTGTTGACGGGAAAATATTTTATTTTAGTGCCCGAGGCAGCCGCTAATCTACCTTCTATCTCTGCCCATTTGGGACATTTTATATAAGATCTTTTGCCTGGCTTCTTTCACTTAGCATAATGTTTTCAGGGTTCGTTCTTATTGTAGTATGTATTAGTACTTTGTTCCTTTTTATTGCTGGAAGTGGTTTGATATCCTACTTTTATGTTTATTGGATATTAGTAAAGTGTTAGACACAAAGTAAATAAGCAGCTCCTGGAAAATTCAAATATAGGGCCCCTTTGGAGTTTGTAGTATTTCTTTTTGTCCCATGGAGTTTCAAATGCTGTGATTTGGTTAGTCCACATATAGACTGTTCTGTGAAGAATTAATTAACTGTTCAATCTCCAGGGAGTCTCAAAATCCTTACAAGAAATTTAATCTAGAGATTTTTTGTTTTTGTTTTTAAGTACAGAGAATTTTCTTGTTGGATAAATTTATTACTAAAACTGACTGACTTTGTTGTATCTCTCAACATCTTAGAATTAAACAATTCATGAGCAAACTGGAAGTGACTTTAAGGATGACATGATTTCACCTTCACCTAATTTTACAGATGAAGAATCTGAGGGATGGCAGGGTTAAACTACTTGCCCACGGCCACATGGCTTAATTAGCTTGCCTTGATAACCGCATGTTTTTATAAAGCAGATTTTGCATTTTGAGATTAATTCAGGAAAGCAGAAAATCAGTATACATAAAATAAGAGCCCTGTTAATTTTTGTCTTGTCTTTCCATAGGCACTGTTGGCATCTGAACCAAAGAAAGGCAAAATGGATTTGTTGAAAATAACTATGAAAGAGTTAATCTCTTTGGCTGGGCCTGCAGATGACTCACAGAGCACAGTCTCCCAGGTAATAATGGAAATATTCAAACTCTTTTAGGAAGGCAGTCTTTTTAAATCTTTGCTGTATTAAAAAAAAAAAGGTGTCTGCTAGAGAAAAGAACTCTTGAAGATGGGAAATTTGAAGCTTGTTTTCATAGGTTTTCCTTTTTTCTTTTTGGTCTTTTCCTGTTCACAAAATAAACCATTGTTTTAGTTGATATATATTGATCAAAAATGAACTATTTTAAAACTCTGGTGGAAACATTCAACTTATGTAAGATATTTTATAATATTACTATTGTATCTAAAAATTTGAAAGTGAATATGCTATTAATTTAGAATTTCATGTGGACTTCTTCAAGTTGGTATACATTTTGTAACTCAGAAGTTGAATCTTTCCTTTAAATGTGTGTAACTTTTGGTACACTCACATTTTAATTTCAGCTAATATTTACTCCCTTTTAGTCACTACCTGTATGTATGAAGTTGGTTTAAGCACTCCTCACAACTCCATTCCACAGCTAGGGAGTAAATACCTGTCAAATATTGCTTGCACCTTATAGTTTGAGCTTCCACAGTAACGCTTCATAGTAGGACACTCCTACCCGTGGCTGTATTTGTTCCATTGCTTTTCCATTTAAGCTTTAGAATCAGCTTGTTCAGTTCAACAAAAAGTTTTGGTTGGAATTTAAATGTATTGATTTATTTGGGAAAAATGACTTTTTTTTTGTATTGAGTCCTCCACAAATGTAGCTTATTTCTCCATTTAGGAGCTTCCTTAATGTCATTCATTATTTTTAAAAATAATTTTCTGTAAAAGTCTTATATATCTTTTTTGAAATTTATTTCTAAATACCTTAATTTTTTGTAATTATAAATGATATGTTAAAAATTTATATTATCTGTTACTGTTATTGTATGAATGCAATTAATTTTTTTGGTTATTGTATTCAGCAACCTACCTGAATTGCTGTAATACTCCTAGTGACTTATCTATACATTTTTCACATTTTCTTTGTAGACAATCATAATCCTCAGTAAGTAATGCTAAGTTTGTTTTACCTTTCTAATTCTTAATCTTAAAATTTTTTTATCTTATTCTACTGCTGGAACCCATTGTACAGTTTTGTGTAGAAAAAGAGATAACAGGCATCTTTATGTTCTTTCTGATATTTGCTATAATTTTTCATCTGCCCTTATTACGGAAATTGAATTTTGTTGAATGCTTTCCTGCATCTTTTGAGATAAATATATGTTTTCTTCTAGAATTTGCAAATATCATTAGTTATATTGATTTTTAAATTTAATACTATTTTTGCATACTGAGAATGAACCCAACTTTGACATGATGAGTTTTTTATACCTTGCTGCATTCACTTAAAAATTTTTTTTGAAAAATACTTTTTGCATATTTTCACTGGGTTCATAAGTGAAATTAGCCTGTGGTTTTCCTTTTTCCTGTTGTCCCTGTCCTTTCTTCTTCTTTTTTTTTTTCTTGAGACAGAGTCTCACCTGGAGTAGAGTGCAGTGACATCATCATAGCTCACTGCAACCTCCAACTCCTGGGCTCAGGTGATCCTCTTGCCTCAGCCTCCAGAGTGGCTGGAACTACAGGCACGTGCCCTGCCACCTGGCTTATTTTTCTATTTTTAGTAGAGATGGGGTCTCACTCTTGCTGAGGCTGGTCTTGAACTCCTGAGCTCAAGCAATATGCACCCCCTCACCTCCCAGAGTGGTAGGATTATAGGCGTGAGCCACTGTGCCGGGCCCCTGTCCTATTTTTTTTTAATATGCGTATTTTAATGAAATTATGGTACACATATAGAGAAGTGTACAAATTATATGTGTACCTCGATACAGTTTCACAAAGTGAACATGCTTGTGTAACTGGCAAGAAATAGAACATTTTTAGCACCCGAAAGCCCTCTCATGCTCTCTTCCAGTCAGCACCCTCTCTCCCAGAGTAACCACTAGCCTAACAGAAACCTTAGTTTTAGTTTTACCTGCTTTTAAAATTTTATGTAAGTGAAACCATACATCATAACCCATAGTCTTGATGTGATTTCTTTTGTTCAGCATTGTGTTTATGATATTCATGTTGTAATTTATTCATTCTCATTGCTGTATAGTATATAATTTATCCATTCTACTGTTGATGAACATTTGGGTAATTTTTAATTTGGGTTTATTAAAAATAAATGCTTTTAGGAGCATTCTTGTATATCCTTAATGGTGAACATATATGTACATTTCTGTTGAGAGTATGCTTAGGAGTGGTTAATGGGTATGTGTATATTGAGCTTAAGAATACTAGATACTGCCCATTTTCCCAAAGTAGTGTCCTTACCTTGTTTTGATAGCCAGACTATCCTAGACTCATAAAATAAATTTGGGAGTCTTCTCTTAACAGTTTATTTAAGATTGGGATTATCTATTCTTTGAATGTTTGTAGAATCCATCTGTAAAATCATGTAGCCAATTTTTTGTTGTGGTGGTTAATTTCCAGGGTTTGGTTTTGATCTCCGGGAGGATTTTTATTGATTTTCTTTATTTAATGGTAGTATCTGTCTAGGTTTTTGATTTCTCTTTGAATTTGTTTTGATAAATTTTATTTTTTAGGAAGTTATTTATTTTGTCTTAATTTTTCAAATTGGTTAAAATAGGATTATTTGTAATATTATTTTTGATTTATTCTCTGCTGTATCTATAGTCATGCCCACTTTGGCATTCATAATATTGCTTATTTGTGCCTTCTCTCCTTTTGTCTTGGTTAGTCTTGTTAGAGGTTTGTTCGTGTTTCAGAGAATCAACTTTTTTTTTTTTTTGAGATGAGGTCTTGCTCTTGATCTGTCATCCAGGCTGGAGTGCACTGGTGGGATCATAGTTCACTGCAGCCTCCATCTCCTGGGCTCAAGCAATCCTCCCGCTTCAGCCTCCTGAGTAGCGAGAGCTACAGGTGCACACCACCACAGTTGGCTAATTTTTTAAATTTTTTGTGGATACAGGTCTTGCTGTGTTGCCCAGGCTGGTCTCGAACTCCTGGCCTCACGAGATCCTCCCACTTCAGCCTCCCAAAGTGCTGGGATTACAGATGTGAGCCACTGTGCCTGGCCAGCTTTTGGTTTTATTAATGCTCCTGTTGTATCTTTGCTATTTTAAAAATTCTGCTCTTATCTTTTTATTTTCTTTCTGTATGTTGAATTTATTGGTTTATATTAATTAATTAGACATTTAGCACATTCATTTTTAGTCATTTTTAAAAACAGAAGTATTTAAGGTGTACATTTCCTTTTTCAAGTTCCACATAAGCTGCATCCTACAAGTATTGATATACAGCATCTTCATTATTGTTCAGCTCTAAATATTAAAAAAAATTTTTGACTAGTGTTTTAAAATGTATCAATTTAAAAAGTATTTTTAAAAAACTATTTCTAACTTAATTCCTCTGTGATCAAAGTGTAATCTATAAATTATTAACTATTTGGTATTTGTCGAGACTTTATTTGTGGCTAGGTTTGAAGTTATTTTAAAAAATAAATATTACCCATGGGCTTGAAAACAATGTGTTGTCTCTATTTGTAAGGCGCAGGATTCTACATATATCCATTTGACCAAACTTATTTATTGCATTGTTCAAATCTTACTAACTTTTTACAGATTGGCTTATTGATTATTGGGTGTGTTTTATTAAATCTGTTATTTCATTTGTGGATTGTCCATGTGTTCTTGGAATTCAATAATTTTTTGTTTTGAAGGTGTGCTGTTGGATATGTACACATTTAGAATTTCCATGATTTTCAACCTGCAACTAATTTTGAACTTTTTCTTCTAGGTTCATGCTTTAAATATCCTTAGAGCCTTGTTCAGGGATACACGTCTGGGAGAAAATATTATTCCTTATGTTGCTGATGGAGCTAAGGCTGCAATTCTGGGTTTTACATCACCGGTCTGGGCAGTAAGTGCCTTTTCTATTTACTTTCACTGACTTAATTATGCTTCTCAGTACATTTTAATAAACTAACCTTTCACTGGATGATAAAAAATATATACTGTATTTTATCAAGGAGTTCTCTAAAGGGTGAATCCTTGGATCAAGCTACAGTTTGACTCTTGATGGTTCCACTTTATCTTATTTGTTGGCTTACTAGCCATAACTCTTTGTTTTCTTATTTTAGTGATTGATTTAGGGTTTTTATATATCTTTAATTTATCACAGTCTGTCTATCCTCAAGTGATACACCATTAAAGTATAAGAACATAATAACAGTGTACCTCTCATTCTCTCCTCCCAATCTTTGTGCTGTTATTGTTACACATTTTACTTTTATGTATGTTATAAATCCATAGTATATTGTTATTATTTTTGTTTAGACAGTCAATATCTTCCTTTTTAATTTACCAGTTTAACCATTTTTTAGTGTACACAGTTCAGTATAAGTACCTTCACAACATTCATCACCATTATGCATTTTCAGAATTTTTTCATCATCCCAAATAGAAGTTCTGTACTCATTAAACACTAACTCCCCAGCTCCCCTCTCCCAAGCCCCTGGTAACCTCCATTCTGCTTTGTCTCCGTGAATTTGCCTGATCTAATACCTCTTATAAGTGGAATCATACAATATTTTTCATTTTTGTTGTTGGCTTATGTCATTTAGTATAATGTCTTCAGGGTTCATACATGGTGTAGCATGTATCAGAATTTCATTCCTTTTTATAGGCTAAATGATACTCCATTGTATGTATACACCACACTTTCCTTATCATCTATTGATGGACATTTAGGTTGTTTCCACTTTTTGGCTATTGTGAATAAATACTGCAGTGATTATTGTTTTACAAGTTGTCTCAATCTCTGCTTTCAATTCTTTTGGCTATATCATATGGTAGTTCTTTAACTTTTTGAGGAACCAACAAACTGTTTCCACAGCAGTAGCACCATTTTACACTCCCATCAGCAATGCACGTGAGTTCCAATTTCTTTACATCTTTACCAACGCTTGTTATTTTCCATTTCTTTGATAATAGTCATCCTTAATGGGTGTGAAGTTTTATCTCATTCTGGTTTTGATTTTTATTTGCCTGATTTGTGATATTGATCTGGAAGCAGAATAACTCTTAATAGCTTAATATGTCTGCCTTTTGGATGCTGTGGATTCTAGGCATCAGTGTGTTGAGTGAGTGCTACAAATATACTCTGTCAAAAGTTGAAAAGACAAACACAAAACATTAAAATGGAGGAGGTTAAATACACATTTTTCTTTTTCTCACATTTTCTTTTGCAACATGGTCAGTGTCCAGGTACCTTTTGATTTTTTTTTTTTTTGCTATTATAATTTTTTTTTAATTTCAGAATGTGACGGGGCTACAAACATTTTGGTTACATGAATTACTTTTATATAGTTTGAGTCAAAGTTATAAGTGTATCCAGCACCCAGATAGTGTGCATTGTACCTGTTAGGTGTGAATTTACTCGTCCCCCTCCCCGCTCCTACCCAATTGTTGGATTTAAGAAAGTAAACTTTAATGTATTTTTTCATGATTCCTGGGAGAAACAACATGGTTTTGTTTTCCTGTATCACTGTGTCTCCTAGAATAAGGAGAATAACCTATGGTTTGTAGATGGTTGAAATGTAGCTTTAAAACAAAAAAATCCTCAGAAAGTTCCTCAAAAAGTTAAGAAAGAGGAGAAAAGATGCTAGATCTTAATACATTACTTGCAGAATGGAGTATTACTAGTAAGACAGACTTTCTGATTAGTGAGCTGCACAAACCATTTCATACCTGTGTGATAAATGTCTAATTGAGAGTCAGTATATAGCAGTGGCAGCCAAAGTCACAGACTCCCAGTGTGAAGAATCCTCAAGGTTGGCAACTCTTGCCTGGAAAATTGTGTATCTTTCTGTAAGAGATACACATTTTTGGAATTTTCTCTAGGAGCATTGCATAACTACTCTTGAGGACACAATGTTTACCTTTTGCATTTACAGGAAACAGAGCAATACCTGTATATGGTCAGTAGAGGTAGGAATGTGGCTTGACTATCAGGAAAACTAGAGATCATAATACTGATTGCTGGAAATATCAGTATTGTTTTCTTCAAGCCATTAATTCTAGATGAACCAAGAAATATTTTTTGTGAAAAGCCTTTCAGAAAGCAAAACCTGGTGATTCTTCCAACTTTTTAGCAAAACTGAAAGTGTCAGACATGAATGATTCATTTTTTTAAAGAATATTTTTTGAGATCCTAAATATTAATGAATGTGCATTATAGAAATTTCGAAAATAAAGGAAAGCATAATGTGAACAGTAAAAATCACCTGTTAAATCACCATACAGATATACTCATTATTAGCATTCTGACGCATTTTCTTTCTCTTTTTTTATGTGTGGACTTTATCAAAAGTGAGTAGTACCCATATGTGCACATATTCACAAAAGGCTGCATAAATATATATAAGTGCTTATATTTTATTTCTAATTTTATAATTTCAATAATTTTATTTCTTGGGATCTTCCTTTTTAATATTAGTTATGAAGGAATCTTTTGTTTCTAGTGGGTTTGCTTTACTGCAGAAAATAAACATTATAGCTATAATGATCAGTACTGTTACTTTAATATTGATAATTATGTTTCCTTCCTTATAAAAACTTAATGTAAGCTTTCATAACCAAAAATGATAAACTAACTTAATCAATGGAAATAAAGAAGTCTTCTTTTACAAAACAATTTACCATAGCATTCTCTGTTGAAGTGATTTAAGGGGTGATTTTTTCTTTAGTGCATGTGAAATATGGTTTGATTTACAGAAACTTGATTTGTACACATCCTTTCAGGAATATATCTGTGCCTAAAGCTGGCTACATCTGTACTTTTGACTTACTTGTTTTTCCTGATTATCTCAGTAGGTTCTGTTTTTCAGGTAGATTCTGTTATAATCCTCATTTTACAGATATAGAAAATAAGGCTCAGGGAGGTGAAATAACTTTTCCTGGGAGGAAAAACATACATGTAAAATGAACTTAATTTTAATTTTCGGAAAAGGAACATTTTCCAGAAAGCATTCTTGTATATATTTAATTTGTTTTTACAGCTTCCTCAATCTTTGCCACCTACTAAGCATTTTTAAAATACAGGGAAAATGTACTGTGTAAACATGTTAGGCATTAGGCACACCTACTATATTGCAGACAATATATTAAGCACAAGAAATACAAGGGTAAATATAGTAATGACAGTCTTATTGAGTATTTTTTATGTACGTAGCATCACTTACATTACATTGATTATCTCAGTAGGTTCTGTTTTTCAGGTAGATTCTGTTATAATCCTCATTTTACAGATACAGAAAATAAGGCTCGGAGAGGTGAAATAATTTTGCCTTACAACACACAACTGTTATCTGTGACTCCGGAATCTATGCTGTTATAGAGGAAACTTTTGGGTGTTACAGGAATACAGAGAAGATGCCTTTTATCTACCTTGTAGGTAGGGTTTTGGCCCTGTTTTCTTAGAAAACAGAGCTGGAGGTGAAGCCTAGTTCCTTTTGTGTTATTAAGTGGTACAAACCCAAAGCAACAAGAATGAAAGAAAAATGGAAGCAAAGCAAGGAAAAAGGAGAGAGATTACCAAGTGGGCCTAACCTTGCAGGAAAACTGAGCTGGTTGTCTTGTCTCATGGTACATCTTCTAACCAGGCCCTGTGAAACTACCACTTTTTTGAACACTCCGATCTCCTATCTTATTAGTCAAAGTTCACTCCTTGGGGTGTTAGCACAACTTGGCAGGTGCTGGCACAACCTTTGGGCAGCTGCTAGGGAATCCAGTTCCCATTCCCTGTGACGTAGCCTGTTAGCTCAGTCTGGAAATGGCTGGATGAGCTAGAGCTGCTTTGGGTGTAGTTGGGACAGACCTGGGGTTTGAAATAATGACTCCTACTGCTGTTGAAAAACCCTGCATAAAAGAGGTTGACAGCAGGGGAGTGGTGGGATCTGATTGATGTAGGCACAGTTGGAGACTTGATTGTAAGGTGGCAAGAGGGAAGGAGGAAGACCAGTTAGGAAGCTATTGTCGTAGTTCTGCCAAAAGATGATGGTGACTCAGAATAGAGAAGTATTAGTAAAGATGGTGAGAAATGATAGTCTTTGACATAATTTTGGAGATGAAACCAGTTTAGTTAAAAATTTAGGTAACAGAAAGTAATTTATAGATTCATATATATGGAACCTGAGAATTTTCTGGGCAGTTCTGTTTAAAAATATCATACAACTTTATCTGATAAATCTTAGCTTACTTGCCTCAGGCCAACTCTGGTTCACAGCATGCAGTGTGTTTCAGAGGAAAGTAAGAAGAAGACCCTTTCAGATCTGCCCAGGAGAACTTCCACACGTACTCTGTCCCTGTATTGGCACCCTCTCTGGGCAATCTGGTAGTTGTGAAGTTGCCTCAAGGGTGCCAGGCTGAGGGCTGTGTAGTACTGAAACCTAGCTGTGCTCTACTCATTATGCTGCAATATATATGCCTTGGCATGGAGCTTCTTTCACCTGGAGAAAAGAGGTACCGTTTTTTCTAATTCATTCACAGGTGCTGTGTGGGCTAGTGGAAGCCCTGACTCTTCTTTTGTCTTCTCATGGAAGAAATGTCCTGCTACTTTGGAAGAGAGTCACCATGAACTCCAGAACATGGCTGGCCCTTCCTTTAGTCTCAGGCCCAGAAATCCCAGCATAATTTTCCTGGATTACAGATGAGGGACTTGTAACCTAAAGTTTTAAGTGTCTTTTTCAAGGTCACAAGGCTAAGAAGTGATAGAAGGCAAATTAGAACCCAAAGTTCATTTAATTTCTTTTAGAAAATAGTTTTTTACTATAAACTTGCACCATGTACACTAGATAAAATATTTTAAAGTGTCATATGTGGATCCTACCCTGAAGAACTTGACTACCTATTAAGGATGAA